TTTTTTTTTTTTGCTAAAATAATAAAGTTTGAATTCAACTCAAATATATTTTTGGATGAACTATTCAAGAGGTTGATGAATCATTAAGACAAAAGTTGGATAGAATTTTAAGACAATAGAGTTGAGAAAACTACACTACACTCACATATATTCTTTATATTACATATTTACACCTAATTAAATTTTATTTGTGAAAATGTTGACTCACCACAAAATAATTGCATATCTATCATAATTCAAATTTTAGTCAAACTATCTATTAATTAAAGAACTAGTGTTGATACCCGTGCGATGCACGGGGTATACTATAGATTAATATTTTATTATTAAAATATTATTAATTTATTTAATACAACATGATAATTGTACCAGACTCAATATATCAAGTCAGTGATAAATATAAATTTTGTTTGGATATCTTTTATAATTTATTTTACAGGTTTTGACTATTTAATATATAAATCTTACTATTTATAATTTTATAAAATAGTATCGATATCTAGATATTAAATATGATGTTTGTATAAAATTAATGGCTTACAAATACTTGTAAAATTACTGATTATCTTAATTTTATAACTTTTTGAACAAATCATATTTTGCATATGCTCGATAGCTAACTAATGTTTTAACCGTAAAATTTATTTTACGTTATTCTAATTTTAGATGCATGAAATAATAATTGTTTGATAATTAAATTTAAATTGTAGTAACTTTAATCGCTTATGCAACACATTTTTTTTAAAGTAAACTATTTATTTTTATTTTAAATTTTTTCGTATATATTTATATATTTACTAAATATATTCAACATATATAATGAGTGTATTAATATCTAATTTAAATGTTTAGATAAATTATATATTTCAATTATTATCAAATACTACAATTTTTAATTATGATATTTGACTATATATATTATCCTATTTACTCATTTTTCTTTATTAAATAGTATATAATAAGAATATGCTTTTTACAACTTAATCTTTTTTTTATGTATGCATATATTTCCAATGTTTATAATTCTTAATTTCACACGACCATCAAATAATAATTTTATTAATATATTAATTTTGATTTTCAATAGTATATCTAATAAAATAATATATTCAATGAACATAAACTTTTTAATGGTTATGTTGACTATACTTTGTTATTACTATAAGTTATTCATTAAGTTAATATGATTCAAACACAATTATTCTGATTATTTGTTAGATATTTTAAGTACTTCTGATAGGTTATTATACTTAATAAAGTTAAAATCTACATCCATGAGATAATAATATAGTTAATCAAATCAATATTTCAAAATTTGAATAGTGTTTTTAATTGTGTTAAAAATTATTACGAAATTAATATTAGGTCTTGTTGAAAATATATGTCATCAATCAATATTATATTTAACACAATTGATAACTAATGAATAGTAGTCAATGAGTAAACAAAAAATAATTAATGTTCATGTATACAATTTGCTAATAGATAAAGGCTAAGTATATGCTAAATATAAATGAAAATATTTTTCCGCCTAAAACTATGTCAAGTATAATAATAAAGATTGGTCCATTATATAGATATAGATAACGATATAGATATAGATATAGATATTTTTAAAATAGTATAAAAGAAAACTTATATATTTTTAAAAAATTAAATAGCTTTTTTTTACTGTGCATAGATATTTCAAATGTGAAATTTAGAATTCTAAGTTGCACCTCACAATTTTATCTGTATTAGTATATTATTTAAATTATTAATAGTATTATCACTGCATATAATGTATTTAATAGGGATGTACCTTTTTATAACTAAATTGACTATATTTTATAAACCTTTATTAATATTTTAAATTATTTATTAAGTTAGTGTGATTTAAACATAGTTATTTTGATTATTTTATTATATATTTTAAGTGCTTCTGAATAGTAAATATAATTAACTAAATTAGTTTCTACAACCATAGATGATAATATATTTAATCAAATCAATTTCCATAATAATTTTTTGAATTGTGTCAATAAATTACTATTAAATTAATATAATATCTCATTGAAAATATATCTAATAAAACTACGGTCAAAATTTAAATTTAATACAATTTGTAGTTACTGAGTAGTAGTCACTGAGTGTATAAAAAATAACATGTTTTTCATGCATAAGATTTGCTAATAAATAAATTTTAATTAAGTTTCAAATATAGACGAAAAAATTTTCCGCCTAAAATTATGTTAATTATAGCAATAAGGATTGTGTCCATTATATAGATATAGATGGTACATATATATATATATTATTAAATATATGGTGAAAAGTCATATTAAATTTTATTTTTTACATTTTCATACTGAATGATTCTCATAATTATATTGATTTTTTATTTTTAGAAAAATTGAAACTAAAATTTATGATTATTTTTATATAGAATGTTTACTTAAAATTCTCAATTTAATAGCTTTTAAAAACTTCAAATATAATAATTATATTACGCATAGGCGGCACTAATTGAAAATTGAATCAGGCTGAATAATAGTGCACGGCGTAATAATTATATTATGCATAGGCACTTCTTGAAATTTGAATCAGGTTGAATCATAAGCCTCATAATAATTATTTTATGCGTAGGCACCAATTTTCATGATATTTATATTATGCATATTATATCATTTAATTCAATCACTAAATATGTCAGTAATTAATTAATATCGTCTTTTAAGTCAGAAAATACTTATTATATATTAAATTGAGAACTAATTATCATGAATGATTTAGTAAATCAAAAGGGCAGACATACTAATTATAAATTTATTTCTAAAAATCAAGTCATAGAAAATACTTAGTATTAAATTGTTAACTAATTATCATGAATGATTTATTAAATCTAAAAGGCAAACATACTAATTATATATTTATTTCAAAAAATATTGTTGATACCATTTCCAAAAGAAGCATTTACTGCTATCATTAGT